AGTTGAACCTAGGAACAAAGCATGCATTTTTAAACAGGAAAGCTTATTTCCTATCACAACAACTCCCAGAGGACTGGGATGGCTTCTTCAACAAGGGACTTTTACATCCAGTAGAGGATGTTTTCCTAGAAAATCTGTTTGGATCAAACTCAGATTTCCTATGTGAGGTTTTATGAATATACTGGATGTGTTAGACACTATTTCTTCTGCCTTGTCTTGGAACTGAAGTTCCAGAACAAAATCAATATATCCCCAAAGAGGTAATTGTACAGTCTGGCAACACTTGCCCAGAGAGCATTGCTGATAACGGACATGCTGTAAAATTTCTTAAAGGCCTCCACATTTCTGACCTTTAAAAACAGCCTCTTTATCTAGCGTGGGGCCAGGACCTGGGCTGAGAGCTGCTCCTTTCAGCTCACCTGTGGTGCAGCAGTTCCTTCAAAGTTGGCTTTGGCTCCTCTGCCAACATCCACCATGGCATGGCTGGTCCAAAGTGGCCTCCAGACAGGTTCCTGTCCCTGCTCTGTGCAAATGCCTCGAAGCCTGGAGTGGCTGCACCCAGGCAGATGAGATCTCATCGGTGGCTGCTCAGATGTGCAGCAGCCTGCCACGTGTACCTTCTGCCTGGGGCTCCTTCCCCACCTCTGCACGGAGCAATGCAGAGAGGAGGTCCCAGCCTCCACGGAGCAGGGCCAGAGAAGTGGAAAGGAAGGATGCAAGAGGCAGGATTCAGTATTCAAGAAAAAGTCTTTATTGTACACGTTGGCTTCTATTGCTTGTATCCCCTCCCCAGTCCCATGTAGTGCAAAAAATTCAGAGAAACAGAGTTCCACATAAATAAGTCAGATAACTTACAGAGAAATCAAAGTGACGACAGTTTGACATGGAGTAGACCGGGTCTGCCTATGGGTAAGGCCAAAAGAACCTCTCCCCGCACGTTGGGGTAAGGGCTCCTGCCTTGCCTTGCCATCTCACTGCAGACCGACACTGGGGTCTCTGGGTGACACATCAACACGTACAGCCTGGAGCCACCCGCTCAGGGATGCTCCTCTGCTGGGAAAAGCTCACATGGGAAATCACACACAGAACATTTTGGGTGAGACATCACTGACTAAAACTGGCAGAGAAGCCACACACAGTTGACAGTTCTCCTCCCCTCAGATAGGGTACTATGCACAGACAGACAGACACAGACACACATCCCCTCCGAGGTCTCCTGCTCAGCAAGGGATGTGCAGCACCAGAAGCAATTCCACCCTGGGATCTCCCAGGGTAGATGCTGACACCTCGTGTCCACACAGTGTGGGTCAGGGTGCTCTGGACCCCCGCAAGCTGCTGGGGAACTATTTGGCCCTTTCTTTCCTTCTTTCTCCTCTCCAGGAAAGCAGTGAGCACCTGCATAGTTAGTAGATCAGAGACACCAAAGGCTCCCTCCTCCCCAGGTTTCTGCAGAACAGGCTCAGTGGTGGTATTGCTCAGGACCCAAGCAGTGGGTGACAGGAGTCACACTGCCCGTTTCCCTGATCCTCAAGAGGCAGGACAGCATCGCTCACCATTCGTAGTGTAAATTCCTAAAGATTACAACTGGGACTAAGGACACACGGCACAAAAATTCTCCTCAGCCTGCTCCACTGCTCACTTCCCTTCTTTTTTCCTGCCCAATGCCCTGCTAAGGCAGCAGCCTCTGTTCACACCAGCCCATCCACAGCTGGAGCAGAAGCTCAGCCACAGCTATAATGACTCAGTCCTTGTTTGAAATCAACCTTCTTCCTCCCCTCAGCAGTTCCTCTCTGGCCCTGCACTCCACTCCTTCTCATACAGGACTCAGGCTGCCGGGGCTCTGCTTTGCCATTCCTCACACAGACACCTCGGCAGGACCGCGGCACGTCGAGCCAAGGCTCAGCACCAGCACCTTCCACTTCTGACATGGCCATGGGGCTTTTAGGCTGATCCTCCTTCAAAGAGGACCCTAGAGCCAGGGGGACCTTGAATGCGCTGGTCAATACAAGTCCAGCAGAAGACTAAAATCCTGATGTTGCTTATAGGAATGGGAAGAGATGGATCGAGACCTCGCTCACACGTAGGCACACGCACACAACGGAGCAGACTTCATCGATTTCACCGTTACTTTGAACAAAGCAGATTCATGTACCCAACTTAGGGCAGCCCTAGGTTGACCAAGAGGCAGCCTGCATGAGCAGAACCTGGACAGTTGCAGGGTCCTCTGCAGTACAGAGGAACGAGAGAGCTGCTGAGCTGTGACAGGAAGGGCAGGGGCTTGGCAACTGAGAGGGGAATGAACAGCAGATTTTGAGTCTGTTCTAAAAGCTAAAAAGACCTCCTCAGCCCAAGAAGCTCAGACTGTCCTTGGGGAGAGGCTGGGGGGAGAAGCAGCCCAGATTTTCAGAAGCTGCTGGTAATTTCAGGTGTCCAATGTTAGGCACTGTAAGTGGGCTTGTAAAACATGCAGGCACCTGTCCAGGAGAAATCAGATTGCTATAAAAATTGTCTGAAGCTGGGGAGTCCCTGTCTCACCTCAAACTCTCCTTTCACCCCAAAGAAAAGCGAAAAGAAGAAATCTCTAAGCCCCTTGAAAATTCAGGCCAACAAATACCACCACGAGCGAAATCTGAACTCTGTAAAAGAGAAATGAGAAGGAGGTGGGAAAAAAGGATAAAGGAATGAGTTCAAACCAAACAATTAGACCATATTTCCAATGCTACATTTGAACACTATTGAGGTACCAGTGGTTGAGTCTATATAATGTGGAGAACACCTGATCTGATGGCTCAGTTCAAGGCTCACACACACATCCTACGCATTGAAAACACCACCCAAGAGGTTCCATGGCACAGGTGGGTCTAGGACAGGCCTGTGACTTACAGTACTAATTTATTCAACCTTTAGTTAATTAAAGTGGTTGCTTAATTGCCAGGGAGTTGTTAATTGCAAATGGTCCCTTCCATGCCTTTTTCACTGTACGTACCGTATCCCACACACGCACACACACACCCAGACATCTATAGAGAACATCTTCCAGGACACAGTCATCATCTCAACAAATGAGAAAAGTAATTGCATCCCTTCTGCTGCCTGAAAAGCAGATGGCATGAGGAATATCAGGGTAGTGTAAAAAATAAAGGGATATGAAGTCAGTAAAAATTAAAATATTAGCATTCAAATTAAAAAAAAGGCAAAAAAAAAAAAGTAACACTCAAAAAAAGTAACGCCAGGCAATCCTCCTCATACAGAAGGCTGGACTGTTCTTCTTTAAGAACCAATACCTTTCCATAAACCCAGAATCTGCTTTGCAGAGAGGAGAACAGCAAACAGGCTGATCCATTCCCAGTCAAACTGTGAACCAGGACCACGTGCAGAGAGCAGGCAGCCACGGTCACTTGAACCTGGGACAGCAATGGCATGGATGCAAACAAGGTCCTTCAACCCATCTGCCTGGCTGGGGACTCCCCAGCTGGGATCTTCATGAATGAGGTGAGGCCAGCTGAGCATGGAAATGCTGGAGGGTTCAAGATGCTGCATCCAGTTTTGTCTCCAACCCTCACCTCCTCCAGACCCTGTCCCTTAGCTGGGCTTCTTTCATTTGTGTATTTTAAGGCATCAATTAGACACCATTGAGAACCATACAGTGGCCTCAGAGTCTTTAACAGTGCACAATAGGCTTGGTAAAGAGTTTGGCTACAGTGACATTCAGAGGAGCTGTTGCACATTCAGCCGTGTCCTTTGGAGGAGTGCTGTCCACCTCTGCCACCCCACAGGACTCCTGGAAGCCTCCAAGGCTGGCTGTGCTCATATGTATGGCACGGCTGGATCACATGAATCCAAAAAGAAAAGCAGCAATGGTTGAAAGTTTCCCCTCCCCAAAGAAAATACACGGCCTTTGGGTGAGTGGTGAGATGGGTCTGACCGGAGCAGAGAGCATCCCCTCTCCTCACCCTCTAGAAGGAGGGTGCTCATCCAGGAAGCACATTTCTAACTGCCGTGGTCGTGCTGATCCGATGTGTGCACCAAGAGTGGGGATGGCTCCGGGGGTTCACAGGAGTGCTGGGGCTGGAGGCAGCAGCCAGGACCTTCGCTCTCCTCCTACAGCGACCGGCTGCCCCGTGGGACGGGCCACGCTGGCCTAGCGCTCGGCCAGGCACCCCTGTCCCCTTGAGGTAAGGTAGGTCCTGATTCTTTGTCAAAGACTCGTTGAAGACACCGACAGGGTGGGCGAGGAGGGGGGTGGGAAGTTGAGAAGTTCCAGTACAGCCACCCCCACGCTGCTCCGGCGTGTGAACATGCACGAGGCTGCTACCCACTTGTTGGTACGAGGGTTGTACTTCTCGATGGAGTTGAGGCTGGAGCTCCCATCGTTGCCACCCACTGCGTACAGCCACCCATCCATGGCCACCAGGTCGTGGGTGCTCCTGGAATGAACATGCAGAGACCACAGAGGTGTGAGGCTTAAACACGGTGTATGTGGGGTGTAGGGGAGATCAGCAGCTCAGGTGAACTGGTCAGAACTCTGCCACCCACAAAAGGGAGTGCATAGCCTCACAAGTGCCCGGTGAAAATGAACTACTGGGGCTCAAACAGTGGCAGAGTGCAGCAGAGAGCCTCAGCTCTTCACTCTGATACCCTCCTCCCTCTGGAGAAGTGCCATCTCTACATAACAGGCCTTAGGAGACTATAATCCTTGGACTTCCAAGCCTTAAATCCTCCCACAGCCAAGGAACATCTCCTAAGTGGCCTCAGCCACCTGGTTCTTTAGGGCCACATAGACTGCTGAGATAAATCCCTCTGCAGAAAACACCTGCAGCACAACATCCCCACTCCTGGCACGCGTGCACCCATCCCTGGGAGCAGAGACCCAACCAGCTGCACAACCCTGGGGCTCGGTCTGCATTTTATGGCTTGCAGTGCCAAGCGAGGCAAGGCTCCAGGTGGGATGGGATCCCTGCTCCTGATGCAGCAGCTGAGGCTTCCCTGCAGCTCAGGAGGGTGGCAGGGGCAGAGCTCCTTACCTACGGATGTTCATGGGTGCCACGCTCTCCCACGTGTTGGTTTTGGGGTTGTAACGCTCAACTGAGTTAAGGCAGCTGGTTCCATCGTTGCCACCAGCCACATAGAGCATCCCCTCCAGCACGGCCACGCCGGCGCTGCTCCGGCGGCTGAGCATATTGGCAATGGGTGTCCAGGTGTTGATCTGGGAAGAGGCAATATTTGGTCATGAGCCAGATGTACAAGTCATTTTCCATGTATCCCTGTCACTCCAGTCTGGTGATGTTAGTCCTGCTCTAACCACAGAGCTCCTGACATAATGGTCCTTCCCTAAAAAGACTTTTTGGGGAGAATGCCAGTTCTTTCCCTGCAGGAAGAGCTTCAGACCCCAGGAGAGACTCTGCTGAGTGGCTCAGGAGAGCACAGCAGCAGCTGGCAGGAGTCCTGCCATCCCAGGGACCTGAGCACAGAGATCCTCGTGCCAGGCCACCAGTCACGTCACTGCTGAATCCCAGCCCAGTCATGGGGGTTGAGCTGTATCTATTTCAGATCTGTACAAGTCATGACTGTGGCTTTACAGCTCATGAAAAACCTCCAGGACCTTCTCTTTGATCTTTTTACAGTCACCTACCCTGCTCTAACAGAGCTGTGAGACCCCAGGCCCAACACACACCCCCAGCCTGCCACAACCCCTGCTAACCGCTCTGGGTGTGCACGCAGCAAGGACCTCAGCTGGAAGCTGGAAACAGCTCAGGGCATGAACAAGAACTGCTCTTCCTAGAGAATATGAGCTGGCCTACAGGCAACGGGGACAGAGAGTGTTCTGGTGGTTGAAAATCTCAAAGGGATATCTTGGAACCTCTAGGGATGACCTTTGGCTCGTTGTGCTCTGGATTGCACTCTGGATACTCTGCCCCTGCAGAAGAGCTGGGGAGAGGGCTGGTACCCGCTCCTTTTCATGGTCACACATGGTAGCTTAAGTCTCCAAGGAGGCAGGCAGGTCTGTGCTGCACAGGCTCACATGGACACACCTTCTGCTCCACGGCACTGCAACACTGTGCTGGGAAGGGGTCACATCTTAAACTATGGCAGTGGATTGCTAAGAGACCCCGTATAGCTGATTTCTCACTCTCTGCTAAGTTCTCTAGCAACTTGTGTGGCCCTCAGCTTTCTGCAGGGCCCTTTCAGGAACCCATCAGGAGGGGAGAAGGAAAAGGCTCACCAGGCATGCTCTCTCTTGTATTTACCTGAGGCTCATACTTTTCTACCGTGGCCAAGTGGGATGAGCTGTCATATCCCCCAACAGCATAGAGGTTGCCTTCTGCAAAGAGAGTCCCACATACATACGAGTCAGCTAAAGAGCATGTCCCAGTCCCACCACAGCCTCCCACAACTCTTGCACAGGGTGCCCATGTAGGTAGCAGCCCAGCTCCTCTCAGCAGTGTTCTCCCAGCTCCCCCTCCCCTTGCAGCACAGAGCATTGTGAAATATTCATCATTTCTCTGCCGTGCTTCCCAAAGAGCTCGTTCACCTGCCACTTCTTGACCCCCTTATTATGGGAGTTGCAAGTGCTCCCCGCAAGAGCAATGGGTTATTTTTAGCAGCAGAGGCTGGAGCAGGGGAACACCAATAAAGGCTGTGGCAGAGAGTAGGAGCTGGTGATGGAGGGGAGGGAACCTCTGAGTCAGCACTGAGAGCTGAAACCAGAGAACAGGGCAGAGGAGAGGCACCATGGAGACAACACCACCACATAGCAATTCTTGGGATGGTGGTGGGGAGCAGCGGGTTACCCTGGCATCCCCAGGGAGGTCCAGCACCTGCTAGGGTGGAGAATGGTACTTGCATAACCCCATAGCTGCACTAAACAATTCTCACACTGCATCCTCCTTAAGGACAGAACTCTTCCAATGGAGTCAAGAGACATCACAGCCTAATGCTGTGACACCCCTGGCAGAGACAGTTTTGATCCCACACTACTGCTTGGATCATCAGTAAAAGGACTGTCCTGCTGTCACAATGAAGGGGTAGTAAGGTTGTCTCTTCCTTTCTAGGGACAGGTGATGATCCAAAGCCAGACCTCTTGCTCCAAAGTAGAAGAGGCACAAAGGAGCTGAGGAACAAGCTGTGGGTCCCCTCAAGAGTTGCCTCCATAATGTGATGAAACCCAATTACTAGGGAGAACGAGGAGGAGAACAGAGGCAAGACATGGCAGAGGAATGGCTGGGCTACCCGGACTCACAGCTAGGGAACATCAAAAGGAACCACCACAAATGCAACAGACAGTCTGCACAGAAGCCAGTCAGGACCTCATGCCATCACCCACCTAGTGTTGCCACCCGGACGTAGCGTCTCCTGGTGCTCATGGCAGCGATGGACGTCCAGGTGCCTGTCAGAGGGTCGTACCGCTCTGCGCTGCAGCAGGCAGGGACACAGGAACATAAGGTGTGACACTGGCAAAGCCCAGGTCAAAGCTCTTTGACACAGGCCCTCAGGGGCAGCTCCCAAGGAAGCTTGGGAATAGACAGGGAGAACGGAGGGAAGAACTGACACAGGCCGTGTTCTGTTGTGGCAGAGGGCTACAAAATGGTTTTTCCCCTGAAGAAACTTTGCCCAGGCCAAAGACATTGGAAGACAGAGCTGGATTGCAAGACATCTACTCTGAGGCCAGTCCATCTCTCAGGAGCCAGCCTTGGTGGGCTCCCCAGGCACCCAGTGCCAAGGACAGTGCATGCAAGAGCAGTGGAGGAGCCTGTGGCACAGCAATGCCCTACCTGTTCAGGCACGAGGCCCCATCGTACCCCCCAGCAGCATAGAGAAGCCCATGAAGCGCTGCTACACCCAGGCAGCTCCTCCTGGTGCCCATGGACACCTCAGGTTGCCAGGAATTGGTGACAGGATCATAGGACTCCACTGTGGCCAAGTCAGAGGTCCCATCATAGCTGTAGGGAGAAAAAGAGAGAACATGTGAGAGCTGGGAAGCCTGGATCACAGGTGAGGTTATGGGCTGGTCCTAGAGCTGACCATGAGCCTAGATAGCAGAGCCTGCCTTGGGTCCCTGTCAGCACCCCTCCCCTCTCCCCACATTCCTTGGGGAGCGCACCAAAGCTCTGTTGACAGCGCAGAGCCCTTAGCTGAGCTCTCCCTGGGGTCTGCAAGGAAAACAGGTCTCTGAGAGCCCAACACGCTGGGGCAGAGGTGGGCTGGGGAGCCAGCAGGTTCCCAACAGCCTGCAGCACAGGGTGAAGGCAAACAGGGAGGAGACGGTGGCAAGTCCAGGACGTCGCCAGCACTAAAGCGAGAGCGAGCAAACCCACTGCTCACAACCACAGGGGCAGGGAAGTGCTTTTTAATTGCTACTCCTGCAGGTAGTAACCTGGAGACATTGGATTGCTTCACGGGAGGATCTCCTGGCCATCTCTGTACCACTCTCACCGCCGGCTCTGTTCAGAGGCTGCTGATGGCACCCCTGCTAGCTCCCCGCGTGCCCTCCTTACCCGCCCACAGCGTACAGCTTGTTCCCAATGGCAGCAACGCCCACGCGGGCCCTGCGAGTCGACATGGAGGCCACCATGTGCCACCGGTCCGTCCGTGTGTCATAGGCTTCGCAGTCCCCGTGGATGGCGAACAAGCTCCCTCCACCTGCACACGGGACAGCAACACAGAGCAAACACCAGCCCAAGGTCCTCGGGACGGGGTTTGCGTGTGCGTGAGGACGTGGCAGAGCCTTACCGACAGCAAAGAGCACGGTGCTGGCCCCCTCACAGCGCCGTGGCCTCGTCCTGCTGTTGCTGAGGACCCCTCTCTGCTCTGGCATCAGGTGGTACTTGAGGGCTTCGATCAGCAGGTCCTTGCACTCCGAGTGATGCCGCACCAACAGCTCTGTGTCCACGTTGCTCATGAGGAAGTCCCGGCTCAGCAAAGGCAACCGCACGCACTTCATAAGCTGAGGGGAGAGGAGTTGTACCCCATTGCAGGGTGGGAAGGGTTCCTCCCAGTACTGCCCCCATATCTCCCCTACAAACCCTGGGGGCCCCAGCAAGGCTGACTCCATCCACCTGGAGATGTCATCCTGCTCACTTGGCAGGACAGGCAGTTGGTGACAAAGGGCACCTAAGCACATGCAGCAATTCAGCCTTAATGTCTCTGTAGAGTCAGGAGCCCTCAGCCTGACTGTGACACCCCAGATCTCCACTGGTACCCACATTCTCTTCCAGCATTCATGCTACAAGCAGCGATCCTCACTGTGGGGCTGCAGAGCCCAGACACCACCTCCCTCTGCCCAGCACACCCTGTGTTCCCTGCACTGCCCAAGAGGGATGTTTGAGTGCACACAACCAGCAAAGGTGGAGGCAGAACTTCTTCAGGGTCAAGCCTTGGGGTAGGTGGAAACCCAAGGGAAACCCTCAGACAGAGTCTTCCTCATCCTGCCCTATCTCAGTCCCAGCCTTTGGAAGGACACCTAGAGATGTTTCCTCCCATCACTCCAACCCGCTGCCTGCCTGGAAGCATGAGAGATGACAGGAAGCTGGGGCTGGTGGAGGCACCAACAGTCTCTACTGCAGCTCGAGGCTGCATCCAGAGGGTGCCCACACTGTGCCAAGCACTGTCAGCCCCGTAAGAAAGGGTTCAACCACGTCTTCTCCAGTTGCACCTTTGGCAGGCAGGACGCTGGCAGATCCGTGCTCCAAGGTGCAGATGCAGAGAGACAAAAGCATGAGTTAAAACAAGTCCCTGCTCAAATTTGCCTGAGCTTTTTGTTTGAGCATGCACATGGAAGCTCAGGAAGACTGTGGGCAGGGCTGACCTCTCCTGCTGCCCACACCCTCCCCAGAGCTCCACATGCCCAAGCTGCCAGGGGTCAGACAGGGCATCCCCCTCAGATTTGTCAATGGTTTGGACTTCACTCTCTAAGACTGAACTTTCTCAGCAACACCCTCATCTATGTCTGGACTGGAAGTGGTGGCAGAGACCTGCTATCCCTGCCCTCTGGTCACCCTGCAGCTTCCTTCAGCCGTGTGTCCAACTAGACCAGGCACTCAGAGCTGGTGGGTAGGACCAGGCCACCTTCCCCAGCAGACTCACCCTGGGGACGTGCTGTCTTCTGCTGTCCACATCATGTTTGACCCAGCTGAGCACAGCCCGGTACACCTCCTCCTCTGATGGCACATTGAGGCTGTCACTAGAAATGAGGTCCAGCACCTGCAGAGCGGGGTAGAAAGGGCAAGTGTTGGTTGGTATGGTTTGGGAGGAGAGGACACATTCACACACCCAGGTAACAGGCCCAGAAGAACAGCACTGTGAAAGGCAGAGGCTCTGCCTCCTGTAGCTGCTGGTGCTTGAGGGGGGTACACCTCTTCTTCCTCACTGGATGTAGAAGGATCCACAGAGCAATCGGGTCCTTCAAACCAGGCAGGTGTAGCTGTGCTCCCCCCTTCCTTGGTGTGGAGACAGCTCTGCCCTCAGTCACCTTCTTTGGCTCATTCTCCCCTTCCACATCTGAAGCCGTTGCAATGCCTGACACTTCCAATCAAGATCAGTGAGATGTGGGAGATGACTTTGCTTGCAGGTGTCCCTTCAATATTTCATGGGACAGAACCAGGTGCCCTGGCTGTTCTCAGCACACTGACTTCACCAGCCGAGGACAGGGAGCTGGGACAAGTGGAGATATGTACCCTCCTCTTCCTGCCACATTCCCCACTGCCGAGGAACGTGCTACCCTGCCATCCCTATTTCACATGGGATTAAGCTCACTCTCAGACAGCACTCTTCCCTGTATCATCTCTCCGTTGAGAGACATGTATTGTCCTCTCCTCCAGAGAGGACCGAAGCACAGAATCTGGGTACATTCCCCTGCCAAACCCTGTCCCCTCAATGCAGCTTCCTTGGGTTCTTCACACGTACACTGTGCCTTCCAAGACAGAGGATGAAAAGCCTTGCCACACCTATACCTTCACGCTCCCATCAGGACCTCACCTGTTTAAGAGGCAACAACATGAACTCCTCTGTCTTGGACACCTCCACGAAGTGTTGGAGGACATACTTGTGCGCAGACTTGAGGAGGTCACTGCAGGAATGTGTGTCAGCAAAACCCCGGATCCCCAGGCAGTTGGATGGGTCGAGCTGGCTGAGTAGGAACTTGCAGCAAGCATCCCGCACACCATTGAGCTGAAGCAGGCTGGCAGCAGGAAGAAGTGTCTGGCAGTAGAAAAGAATGGGGGAAAAGAGAGTTTCCAAGGCAAGGAAACCATTTTCACCCTCATCTCACTGCAAGTCAATAACAGAACAGGCTTACTGAGCACCTTCAGACACACAAGCACACAGAGAACAAAGCATTCCTTGTTTCCAATGAGACTAAGCTAAAGAAGAGCTGAGAAGGACACCAGTAACTCCCCACAGGTCCAGGAAACAGCAGGAGAATGGCAGATGCTCAGGACTAGACCTGGGCATTGCACAATGCTTTGAGGAGCCATTCCCAGCCATGGCAGCTGCAGGATCCACATCTCTGGACGCAGAGGAGCAGAAGAACTCCCTGATCACTGCTAGAGGCAGGTGCCATCACAGAACTACAGCTGAAAGTGCTGAGCAGAGGGAGAGAAGAGCTCCCAGGAGGTAAGTCTCATATAGAATGGTTTTGTGGAGAAGACAGATTTGGGGGGAAGCTCTTACCTGCACGTTCCCCTCGCCCACCACAATCTCAGCCGTGTAGGCATATTGCACCAGCTGCTCCAGGGCCTGTGGGTCAATGTCATGCAGTGTCACGTGTGTCTGGCGACTCTCACTCATCTCATCTGAGAAAACATAGATACTAGACATGAACAATGTCCCACAGCAGGGTTGCTTCCCCTCAGGAAGACTTGACCATGCAGTGAACAAGACAGATCCACCTTCACAGCCCAGAAAGGGCTCCTGCCCAGCTCTTAGCAAGGAGAAGCAGCAGTATACTCTAGGGAATGGCATCCATGTCTGCAGGATGGGCACCAAGATATCTGTGCAGGTGGTTATGGGCAAAGGGAGCCAAATGAGGAACATTACAGCACTTGCTCACAGAGATGACATATAGGCATCTGTTTCCATAGGGCAGTGAGAACGGGGAGCAGGAGAGAAAATGGAGGGGTTTGCAGCAAGGAACATTACAGCACTTGCTCACAGAGATGAAATATAGGCATCTGTTTCCATAGGGTAGGGCAGTGAGAACGGGGAGCAGGACAGAAAGTGGAGGGGTTTGCAGGGAAGAGAGGGTTTGAAGAGCAGGGAGACCCTGGCCATGAGGTAGAGAGGACACTACTTGCTTGTGAACATGGCGTGGAAGTACGGGCTGCACGACGCCAGCACCACCTTGTGGGCCTTGATCTCCTTGGTGCCCACATGGAGCACGATGTCGCAGAGCAGCCCACGCTGACGCATGCGGTTCATGCACACGAAGGCATCGTGATAGTGTCGCTTGGAGTTGTGGGAGATGCTGTGGCCATCACGGTTGAGGAGCTGCACACCCCCTTCCATGGCTGCAGGTGGTAGATGGTGGGTTTTCCCTTCTCAGTGGCACTGATATGGGGGAAAATCAAAGAATTACCCAGGCAGGAAGAGATCTAGTCCCAGACAATTCCCATTGTCCACAAGTATGCCCATCACTGCTCAAACACCCAGTGCAAGAACAGTTCCAGTCCAACCAGCACCTGCCAGGGAAACATCATCCTGCTCATAAATCAGTGATGGGCAGGAGACAGTCCCTGGAAGAACACAAATAATGTAAAGCGATGCTGAGACTCAGAATTCTCTGTTCTGTGACGCTGCTCCCCAGCTGTGTTCATCTCTGGATCAATACCCTCCTTACCTGCCTTCAGAAGGGTACTGCTCTACTACAGATACGCTCACACTGGTTTTCCTTGAAGTTGCACCATCTCTAAATCCACCTAACAAAGTGCATTTCCATGCAACAGCAGCAGAAGCATTGATCTTAAAAGTCTCACCGGGGCATGCCAGTCCTGCATTGATCAAACACAGCTTAAATAGATGACTGGAGACAGCAAATGTGACAACCCTGATTAACCCAAACAAAAAAATAACCCGGGAATCCCATATCCTAAAAGACTAGAGTGATGCTATGGACCACAGCTCTTTGAGTGGTGGCTGCTCCCTTCCAGCTTCCAGAAGATGCTGGGAGATTTGGAATGCATTGAAAAGCTCAGCTCAGAGAGCTGCTGTCTTTCCCTTGCCCACACAGTTCAGGAGGAGAAGGCAGAGGGCAAAGGCAATTGCAGCACAGAGCTCTACAGTCCCAGCACAGAATCCTGCAGACCTGGGATTCGATAGCTCCTGCCATTTTCTATTGACAGAGGCTGGGAATTCCCAGGTGGTCAGTTAGGGAAGAAGATCCTGATCTCCACTTCTCTCCAGCATCCTCTACCCAGGCACGTCCACAGCTCCAAGGCTGTACCAAACATTCCCTGTTCTGCACACGCGCAACAGGCAGCATGGGCAGAGCTGAGCTCCTGGAAGCAGCCCCGGCTGCGACCCTGGTTCTCCTTCAAGAGGTAACTTGGAACTTCTGGTAGTTTTTGTTTGACAAGGTTGAAGGACAGACAGCAAAGATCAGAGATGCTGATCAGGCGGCTGGGACCTGATGCAGAATTCCATCTGTATGTACACGTACACGCTACTGAGCGTGGAGCAGGACAGTCCTTCCAAACAAACTGGGATAGCCCAGGCAAGGAGCAGGAGTATAAACTTGATCAGCTCGTAGGACCAAAAAAAAATGCTTAATCAGAGAATAAGGGCATTTTTCTGTGTAAAGATATTTTCTCTTTCCATGCTGTCTGCATCCAGGCTGCTCATGGCGTTCCAGAAGGCGTTTGACTGTCTCCCTGCCAGAAGCACCCAAAGGAAAGGTTGAGGGAGTGAAAAAAAAATGACAGAGCAGCAGAAGGCAGAAGGGGGAGGGAGCAGGAGAAAAAGGCAGCTTGAAGAAAGAAAAAAAAAGCCAATATGCTGCACTCGTGCGCCTGCCCCCGCATCCCTGCGGCGAGAGGATCCCCCAGCCTCTCTGCTCCTCACGACACCTACACGTCGCCAGCCGTGCTGAGCCTATAAATAGAAACCCACCATGCTGTGCCTGCTCAGCCACGAACACAGCCATCTCTCCATTTTTAAAATAGCAATTGTATCGTGTACTAGAGTCTGGGGGAGGGAAAAAAAAGATGAATAAACATCTTTCCTGAGCAGGAGAGAAGCCTGCAATGCCCTCTGCTATTTGCATCATCCCACGTGATATGAGATTCCTCGTTTCACTGTCAGTGGGGAAGACTCACAGGCACACAACAAAGGCAACGCCTGTTGATGCTTCCCAGCAAGGAGGGTGGGATGCCATCGTGCCCTTGACAGGAGAGAAGAGCCCATGAGTTAACTGTCCTTCTCCTCCCACACCCCTCAGCTGAGCTTTTCAGAAAGCTGTCACACCCCCAGGACACCCTCGGTGAGTTAATTCACGTGTGTGGACACTGCTGGATGAGAGGTGCCCACACGAAGGTGGTTTTTATCATTATTAGCATCGTTACCTGGGCTCAAGAGCTCCTTTCCCAGACCTCATTTAGCAGCAGAGAGCAGATGGTGTTTCCTTGCCTTTACTCCCCTCCCCAGCTGCCAGCCTGAGGGTTTTCCTGATCTGGTTTATCTTTTTAATATACAGCTGAGCTTAAGTGCCCATCAGTAATTAAGTGACACCCCAGCTCTAATGGAGAGCGCTGGGGAGCAAGGGGTAGGGGCTCCCAGCTCCGCAGCAGTGGGAGGACCCAGGGGAGGACAATGCAGGACAGGACAGAGGAGCAGGGAGAAGATGGGAATACTTCTCCTTGTGCTGTCAGAGACTGGTGAGGGAAGGTTTGCTGGAGGGGTAGTGGTCACAAAGACAGAGGGCACAGCAGACTGGAGGTTGCTGTAGCCGCTAAATTGGCATCACAGTAATCAAACGCATTTCCAAAGAGGGTCGGAAGTGCTGGGCTCTCTTCCCAGCCCTGCCACTGAGTCATTGCACAATTCTGGGCAAGTACAAATGCAGAGAGTGACAAGGGTGACATTATCTCTCCTTGTAATGATTCTCACGGCCAAGAGGTAGAGACTAGCTATTGCTCAGTCCTCTCCACCCACATCCCCTGCTGTCACCAGCGAGGGCTGGCACGCACCTCACAGAGCTCTGAAGAACCATCACCAGTGACCTGCTTGCCCACGCTGCTGTGTGGCACCCTGACCTACGCCACCACCATGTCACTCGGTCTCTGACGTGACCAAGCAGGGACAGAGGGAGATGTCATCCCAGCCACTGCACTGCCACTGGGACCCCGAGAGCATCCCCACACCAGGGGACAGTCCATAGCTGACCTGCCACATGACAGCCTCAGCAATCTCTCCCATGGAGAGCAGCCAACACAATCACTGGTCACCCTTGGAAGGGTCACCATCTGGAAGCACAAGGAACACTGGCATGGGTCCGGCCTCAGGCTTGCAGTGGGTACAGCCCCTTCAGTCCCACTTCCCAGTATCCCCTCTGCTCTGCAATAAGTTAGAATCACAGAATTGTTTTGGTTGGAAAAGACCTTTAAGATCATTGAGTCCAACCATAAACCTCACACTGCCAAGTCCACCTCTAAACCATGTCCCTGAGCACCACATCTACACATCTTTTAAATCCCTCCCGGATTGTTCACTCCACCATCTCCCTGGCCAGCCTGTTCCAACACTTGACAACCCTTTTGGTGAATAAGTTTTTCCCCAGATCCAATCTAAACCTCCCCTGGTGCAACCTGAGGCTATTTCCTCTTGTCCTGTCACTTGTTCCTTGGTTGAACAGACCAGCACCCTCCTTTCAGGGAGCTGGACAGAGCCAGAAGGTCTCCCCTCAGCCTCCTTTTCTCCAGGGTCAACAACCCCAGTTCCCTCAGCTGGGAACTCAGCACACTTGTGCTCCAGACCCTTCCCCAGCTCCACTGCTCTTCTCTGGACACGCTTGTGCCCATCAGAGCTCTTTTCCTTTAATGGGTCAGCATATAATCAACTGGGGAAAAGGGAAAGGACACCCCACTGCTGCTCGTGCTGCTCCCTGTGCCTGAACTCTCATCCTCACTGGCAGCACTCAATATTCCTTATTTCCTTTGCAAAACTTCATTCCCAGGAAATGAAGGTCTATGAACACTGCTAAGATATAATTAATGCCTGGACCACAAGAGACAGTAGAGCAGTGTCCAGAGCTCCAGAGAGGGGAAGTAAACACAAGCCCACTTTTGTGGAGCGTGCAGCAGTGTGAACGCACGTGGTACACATCAGCTGTAATGGATGCGGTGCCTGACTTGTAATAACTCCTAGGTTATGATAAAAAAAAAGAAAGAAGTGTTTGTTTGGCTCCTATGCGACAGAGCGTGGCCATGCATAACAGCTCTGTTAATTAATGCAAATGATCCCTGCCCAAAGGGAGGCCTGTTCTCTTTGCACAAAAAAAACCATATTTTGCTGAGAGTGAAAAGAAGCGTGCTGAGCAATAAACAGGGAACAGAGCATCCTCCGGGGAAAAGTTCAGAGCCTGTCCTTTCCCCAGGAAGGCCCTGGAGAATGGCTTTTTGTTGACAGCCTGGATGGAGATTTTGTGTCTGCCAGGCTAGCTAGGAGACCGCAAAGACACATCCTGTACAGCTGGGCAGATGCTGGGGACGAGTCTTTCCTGTGGATAAGGTGACATCCCCTATTCTAGGGCATGAAGGAAAGCTGAGGAGGGACTTTTTACAAGGGCAGGGGTGATGGCTTTAAACTGGAAGAGAGGAGATTGAGATGTGATGTGAGGGTGGTGGGACACTGGCCCAAGTTGCCCAGAGAAGCTGTGGCTGCTCCTCCCTGGAAGTGTTGAAGGCCAGGTTGGATGAGGCTTTGAGCAACCTGGTCTAGTGGAAGGTGCTTAAATCCATCACTTCCATGTGTGCCCTGTCCTTGGGTTGATATCTCAGTACTTCTTTCCTGGTATATCAGCTACAAAGCCCCGGTTTGTGCTCAGCATCTCTCACAGAAGTGCTGCCATTAGACCTGCAGGATAAGACATTAGGTCCTCGCTGACACTCACCTCTAGACCAGGGTGTCATGGCACTAATAGAGCAGAAGGCAGCACAAAGGAGGTGAATAAGGTGGCACCATGCTGCCAGTCTCCCTTTCAGAGGACTGGTTCCTCCCCTTCCTTGGCATGATGGGTCCATCTCCCACACACAAAGTCCTTTTTTGTTTTTCCCCACAGATCTCCTCTGGCTCTGTCCCCAGGCAGGAAGGGGCTGCTGGCAGCGCTCTGTTGTGCCCAGTAGCTTCAGATCTCCATTCTAAGCAGTGGAGCCAAAGCAGTGTCCTCCAACAGCCCAGCAAAACTCACCCTGGGGCAGAGCAACAGCATGGACCCCTGGGGAAGAAGGAGCTTGACATCAGAGTTACAGGCAGGAATTGCTGCTTCCAAGAGCATCTCCATCTCCTTACACCAGAAATCAGAATTCGTATTTTTAACCCCT